AAAGCAGCAACAGCCTTAAATGCATCTGACCGAATTAACGTTATCCAAGCCTTAGAAACATAATAATTAGATGCAATTATAAAAATTCGTTAAAAACTCCTTAAGGCACTTAGTACTTTATAATTATTTAAGATAGTGCCGGTCGCTGTTAATCTCCCTCTTAAAGTAAATTGTTCATCTCTGACTTTGGCCAGATAACCGAAAAAGACCACAATCTGAATAATAGTGACCTTGCGGCGACTAACGAGATCTGCGAGTGCGATAACCGACGTAATTTTGCGAGACGCATCTATAAATCAATTATTTGTATTTTCAGTCCTGATAATTCAGTGACTTAACACTTGAGAGGAAATTGCTTTGCACAAGAGCGAATTCCGACGAATTGTGGCGGCCTTGGAGGGGCAAGGCCGCACTCAGGTGGATCTTTAATCGACAATAACGGTCATGTTTTTAATCGATCATTATTTTTCGTGAGTTTGTTTTTCATGTACGAACTAATGAAGCTAGTAAAATTGATAGCCGGTTGAATAATAAATGTGGCGATTGCAAGCAAAAATTAATTATTACGCTCTCATTTAATATTTAAATGAAGCTTTGCAACTCGGATGTCATTTAATTAAGATTCTTGAAAACCATTCTTCGAAATGCTTCGCGAGATATTTATAGGTTTGATCAAACCGTGCAGGAGGAAGGGAATAAAAACCAAACCTGTTTTGCCAACGAGAGGGACTAAAATAGAATTTGCTAAGAAAGCTCAGTGTTTGAGGAGCTTTGGATTAATCAGGAAACGTTTAATTCGCTGTGAAACTGTAGGAGTCGTTTAATTTCCATAAGAAGATGAAAAATTAAGATTCTGGAATTACTTACGTTTTATGACAGTTTTTATGACTGACATTAAACAGGTACAGTTGGAAGTAAAGCAGATAGAATTCTGTTGCAAATGACTGAAATTTTGTTGTTGATTTTATCGTTTATGACCTCTGGTGATTTATCTTCAGTCAAAAATCGTACAATGTTGCGAGTAATTAACTCTTATCTTTTATAAAAATTAATTTCAACTTAATTATTTTTTAATTAGTGAGGATGCTTGAGATTGCAGGAATTCGATGCATGGCGTGAAATGAGATATAGAAAAGCCGCAAATTATATAACAGATGATTTATCATCAATTTATCAAATTTTGTGTTGTGTTTGTGTGCAAATACATAATTAGATTTTTACGATGAAAGAAATCCTCATTTCAGAAAACCGCGTTGTAAATTTTACAAAGACTTTTATGGTTCATTGGCGGTGGGGGACTAAAGAATGTCTTGTCGAAAAAAATCGAGTGTTGTTTGTCCTACTACAAATACTAATATTTGGCACTTTTAAACTGAACATTTATGAATAGACAAACATAAACATGACAGCTGGGCAAATTTATAGAAAATCTTCGTTTTGTTGTCTAATACAGCGTTGATATCTCTCAACACAAATTTTTGTCAACACATCAAGGACAATAAATGAAGACAGTCGCCTCTAACGCAGCTTGTCTCTGCCATCACTCCTGCTATACAATTGGAACAAAATATTGACTCCTTCTACTTGTCTACTCCAGCATTAATATCTCTTACAACCACTCTTTTTGTATCAACTTTTTTACCTTTATTGTAGGTATAAAATTGTTTTAAAATTATAATTTTTCTATTTGTTTTGAATTTTTGTGTTTTTTTTTCAAAAATTTCTCGTTTAATGCAGCATCGAGTTTCTTGTTTCCTGCTGTGCGTTGGGAAAAACGTGTTTAGGCATTTTTTCAAAAATCCTGTTGTCGGAATAGTTTGTAATTTTGTTTTTGATTGTTTTTATAAACTTTGATAAAATGTACACACTACATTTGTGATTAATTCGAATTAAACTTTTTAAGAACATTTTATTAAAAGATTGTTTTCTGTTATACATTTTAATTATAATAAATAGATGTTTGATAGATATTTTACTCAATTTTCTCAAAAAAAATTCTGCTGCAGCGAGATTTTGCATTGCATTGTCATCTTTTTAAAAATCCTGTCGAATAATTGAAATTACAGCGCTAGTTTTTATTCTTTGTATTATTTTTTAAAGATTTCACGTGTTTTAAAATTGTTACTTGCTTAACGCAGCATCGCCATTCCTGCCAACCGTTTCCCTATGCGCCTTCAAACATTTCCTGCTGCCATCATAGCTCATTCACTGTCGTTTTTTATTTAATACTTTTCAATATTTTTTACAAACGTGAAAAAATCGCTATTGAGCAACTATCGGCACTTAGTGCTAACTAAAAGTGCAATAAAATTGATTATACCATCATTATTTAAAGTTTATGACATGTGCAATTTTTCGAAACCCACCTATAACGGAAGGCCTTTTCATCTTATTTTACAACTATTATCATGCAAAAACCTTGAATACTACTTTTTATCAGGAACAAGATGCAAAATCACGGAGGTCGTTAAAGATTTTTCCAAAAAAATGCCAATCGACTCGTTAATCAAACAAAACATAAGCACAGATGACATTAACACACTTAACAGTAATTAATTCCGTTCTGTGATGTCATCTTGAAAGCTTTTAACCCTTTGTTACACGCCAGAAATGCAATAAAATCTAAAATTAGCACTTGCATCTATAATAAGCTATTTTAGGTCCGATAATTATTACTGCATTAACAGCTTTCGACAGGTGCGGACTGTGTCAGCATCAAGTGAAATTTTTCGCTGCGTCTGACGCAGCGATCAAATCTTCGGCCAAAATCCTGTTGTGGGCCACAAATTGGACTAAAAACCCTGCGCAAAGTCATTATTTTTTTCAGCAGGAATCCGTTGCAAAAAATTAAAAAAAAAAGTAATTTTTCAATTTCTTAACTAAACCATTCTATTTTTAACATTACAATTCAATTTTGCTTTTCTTTTATTTATAATTTTTTTGGTAATTGGCTGAAAAGTTTCTTGTACGACATCATTAATGTCTTAATTGTCTTAATTTGTATTTTTTTTTATAAAAATTGGGAAACCCCTCTTTCGTTTTTTAATATGTTGTTAATGCAGCTATATAATCCTAAAATATTTGTCACTTTTTTGTAAATAATAAAAAAAAAGGAAATGTAATTTAATTTTGTTTGTTTAAGTTATTTTAATAGAATATAAAAATAAATAAAAAAATTCTTGCCTCATCTAACATTGATATTCCCCACCCTTAGATTTATTGAATATTAAAGAACAAAGGTACTAATTTTAAAGTTGCAGTTTTTCTTCGCTCTTTCTTTTTTATTATTATTCAGGTAATTTAAGTTGTCTTTTTGCGTTTGATGTAGCGTTAAAGTCTCTGGCAAAAATCCTGCTGTGGCTCCAAAATGGAGTAAAAACCCTGCCCAAAGTTATTATTTTCCTTTAGCAGGAATCAATTGCAATAAATTTAAATAAAAAAGGGTAATTTTTTGATTTCAAAATTAACCATCCCATTTTCAACATTACAATTCAATTTTGCTTCTCATTTATTTATAATTTTTTGGTAATTAATTGAAAGGTTTCTTGTATGACATCATTAATGGCTGTTGTCTTAATTTGTATTTTTTTATAAAAATTGGAAATCCCCACTTTGGTTTTTTCATTTCTTGTTAATGTAGCCATATAATTCAAAAATGTCACTCACTTTTTTGTAAATAATTAAAAAAAAAGTAATTGTAATTTATTTTTGTTTGTGATTAAGTTATTTTACTAAAATATGAAAATAAACAAAAATTTCTTGTCGCATCTAACATCTCACCCTTAGATTTCATGAATATCAAAGTTTTTAGTTGAAAAAAATTTAATTTTAAAGTTGCAGTTTTTCTTCGCTCTTTCTTTTTTATTATTATTCAGGTAATCTAAATTGTTTTTTGCGTCTGATGTAGCGTTAAGGTCTCCGGCAAAAATTTACATTTCATTTTTTTGTTATTTTTGTGAATTAATTTTTTTGATGTGTTAATTATACAGTGTTCCATTTTTATTGTTAGGTACAAATTTAAATAGATGATAGAAGACTCAATTTTAAAACAAAAATTCTATGTAAAGGAGCCACACCCCCTAAAAAGGGTGCGTTTTTTAAAGGATTTTTTTCTAATATTACAGAATAGATAAAATTACAAAATTTGGTACAGCTGATAATCTTTATATGTAATCAGGGGCGTCCTAAACAAATCAAAACATATTGAATTTTTTGCTGTTTATGGTCTGTAACATAAATTTTTAAACCGATTTTACTGAAAATCGGTAAATTGTACCTATCGGAAAATCGTCAAAGACCTTTTTTTTTGAAAAGCTATGAAATTTAGAATTTTGTTGCTGAAAGTGGCAGGAAAGCACAGGCAAAATTGTTCTCTTTTATTTATTTTCTCTTAATCTTTTGGTAATTATAGTTGAAAAACATTAATGGCTGTAATTTCTAACTTTTTTTACAAAAATTGGAAAAACCCGTCTTTGGTTTTTTAATATCTTGTTAATACAGCTATATAATTCTAAAATATCTTTGTAAATATTTTTGTAAATAAAAAAAATATAGACAATTTAATTTTGTTTGAATTTAAGTTATTTTAGTAAAATATGAAAATAAACAAAAAATGTCTTTCTTTCTTAAGATTGATATCCCTCATCCTTAGATTTGTTGAATATCAAAGTTTTTAGTTTAAAAAAACGAAGGTAATTTTAAAGTTGCAGTTTCTCTTCTCTCTTTTTTTTCTATTATTATTCAGGTAATTTAAGTTGTTTTTTGCGTCTGATGTAGCGTTGAAGTCTCCGTCAAAAATCCTGCTGCGGGCCATTCATTCTGTCCTGCAAGTCGGGGTGAGCTCCCTGCTGCGCGGTCGTAATTTCGGCAAAGCCATTATCCTGCCGTAGCAGGAATCGACTGCAGAAAAATCCGTGGGCTCCGGTCTGTATCCGAAGTGAGTGACTTCGCTATTCTCACATACGCGCTCTAGCCAATGAAATCTCTTGTCTCACGGTCGAGTCGTTCGCCAAGACGCTCGAACTCTTGGAGCACTCAGTCTAGTAGAAGACTTTCGCGTGAGTAGCAGTGCCCCAAAATCTAAAGTGGAGTGATAAGGGGCCGAATAGCCCTGGCAACGTACAGCCATGGCGACTGGTAAGTACCAAACAGCCCTATCGCCGGCCAACTTAAACCAAGTGCGAAGTGCAGTGGCTTGTGCAGTGCTGAGTGCAACCGAAGAAATTGAGAGAATGGCGTTGCATTGAGAGAAAATATGCGACCTAAATAAACTACTCAAGTGTTTAAATCGAGTCCCACGTTGGCCGGCGATTTGCCCTTTAACACTTTGAGGTGCACCGAAAGCTAACGGTGGCGTTGGAGGGAACGTTTGACACAATTGCAGGAACGGTATTGCAGAACGAGGTCCACTCGAGATCGGCTAATCTCTGACGTAAACACTTTCTCTGCGCGGGGGCGATTATGAGGGCTTGCATATGGTCGAAAATTTGCACCAAAATCAACCCCTTGTCACACTATCAGTACGCAAACTTGACCTCTAATCAATCAAAATTTTGAAAAAGGACGATTTAAGGAGTTTTGTCAATTTCCTGCTGAGATTCCTGCTCCATTCTGGAATTGTAGTGGCCGTGAAAGGCTCTCAAATGTAGAAAGCAAAGTAAATATCGAAAAACTAGTTCGTTTTCCAAAAGAAAAATCGGAACGTGGGCACTGTTCACGATTATTTTTACCTTTAACATTTTGAAGCAAGGACGTCTTAAATGTTAGCAAGTTGATTTCCTTTGGTCAGTTTCCAAATAAAATTGGCGTGAGCGAGATTTACATCGAGAGTAAAACTACTGGTTAATTGGCTTATTATAGTAGAAAAAAAATCCTATGGGACTTTAATTAACCAAAATTGTGTCATAAATATTTATTTTGTCTAGGTACATAAGATAAAATTACTCTTAACTAAATGTAATATTTAATAATGAAAAATACCGACAAAAAACTTACAAACAATAGCTTAAAAAAACAAAATAAAATAAGAAATTAATAAAAAATCTGAAATTTTGTTTTGTTTTTGAGTTATACGATTTTTTGTCAGAATTGCAATTTATATACTTTTTTGGAAAAATTAAATATAAAAGTAGATAGTTTGTTGTAATACTTAGATCATAACCTTCATGAGAAAAATGGTTTTATAGTGAGTTGCCTTTTAAAAAAATATTTTTTTTGTAGAACTCAAAAACAAGAAAATTTCGAAAAAAATTATTCTTGATAAAACATCACATCTTTTAAGTACTTTATCATTCAATAATTAGTTTTACCAAAAAATAAATAGTTTAAGCAAACAACGTTTGATTCCATACTTTTTATTCATCTGGTATTTTTTTTTTACGATCTAGCAAGAAAAACTAACAATTTCTCTTGAACATACTTTCTGTTAGGGTCGTAGAAAAATCAGATTATTCAAAAAAATATATTTCTAGTGTGCAATACTGGTATGAATTATGGTATGGTAAAAATATTATAAGTCGTAGTCTGTAAAAAATACCGGATATTTCTAAAGTATAAATTTAATTAAAATCTGAAATTGCAGATTTTTTATGTCATTTGCAGCAAACTAAAATTGAGATTAGAACATAGAAATAAAAACTTGCAAAAAAGTAACATGATGTTTATTATTTTTAATTAAAATATACATACGTACTTTTAAATTACATACATGATTTTTTTTACAGCTGTAACAGTTCTGAATTAAAAAAAAATTCAAAAATGTTTTTGGTCTTTGCATGTTTGCAAAGTACAAGAATTTATTAACCACTTTTGAATATTTTAAAACAAACAGTTTCCTTTTGAATTCTATTTTGTAAATTTAATTTTTACGATTACTTTACTTTAGGAAAAATATAAAAATGCCTGGTTTTTCCTTAAGATGCACTGGGGCAATTTTGGAAAAAAATATTGATAAAGAATTTTGCTCTCCTATTGAAATATTTTTAGGCGTTTTTTGAGTTTTCAATAATTATTGTCCTATTAGAAATTTGTAGTTGAATTTTGTTCAATTGAGAAATATATTTATATCTATTTTTAAAAATCTTATAAACTGCCAGTCTGTTAAAAAAAAAATAAGTTTACATACAAAGACTTATAATTTTTGGATTTCTATTACTTTTACTTCTCTTGTAAGGTGTATTGATATTAAAGACCTTCCTTTACAATTTTATGGTGACTATAAAAAAATAATAGCGACAAATTTCTCTTAACAATTATTATTATTTTTTAAACTGCAACAAATGGATACGATTTTTGTTTTAAAAAAACCGCTTAGAACAAAATATTATTTTTATTCAATCCTCTATGTTAAAATTGAATTTTATCTACTCTTTTCTTCATGTTAAAATAAAATTTTGTCGTCTAGATGATAAAAAATACATCCATTGTTGTATATCTTCGGTTGTGAGTTGCTAACGATCTTTGACATTAGATTTCATTGTTGAATTCTACTTTGACGTTTATAAATATTGACCAAATTGACTACAAAATTAGTGAGTACTGAATAAAATCTTATATTGTACACGACGATAAAATTTTCATTATCTTTTCGAGCATATTGCTCTCAAAGATAAAATTCAATTTTATCGTCTTGTATAATAAATAACTATTATTGACAGCAAAAATATTTTTTCATCTTTGAGAAATTAGTTTTTTCCTTAAATAGGTACCAAATTTTAGTATTAGGTAGTTATTGTTCTTAATTTTGCAATAGAAAAATATTGTGATTAAGAAAGTTGAGTTTAGTGACGATATTTTTCTTGCTATAAATATCAAAATCTTTGTTTTAATTAAATATTCCCGTCTGACGGCTTACTTTTACTCCTCGCTAAACTTTAGCATTTTAAAAGCTCATGATGGATATACAAGAGAGAAACTCCCAATGGCCTCGCCGACATTTGAATACCTAACAATAAGTCATTTTTTAGACGACACCTATTGTCGATTGTCACGTGTCAAGTCGTTATTTCCAGTCAAAAACACTTTCACTGGCTTTCATCAAGCCCAAAAATCACTCACATCCACATGAGAGCCGAATAAATTCAACACATGTTTCGTGTATCTTTCGTGTTAACACAGCTTATCTGTTCATAGCAGGTAGATAGGCTGTTTTTTATGCTAGACAATAAAGGTAAGGCGAGAGGAATGCCTTACATGTTTAATTTTCTTGGATCATTAACCCCACACAGAGATGCATTATCCCTTCTCGTATCAACGATTTATCCAATTAGAACTCTTCGTAATTCAATAAAACACCTTTCGATTTTTCGGCCGGTGAATTATTCCCGCCGTAAAAATTTATTGCAAGATGGTCGTTAGTATCCTAGCGAGCCGTAGAATTTTTATTAGTTTTAGTTTACATGCATGGAATGCGTTCAAATAAAAGCAAATTCTGCTTTAATAGCGTATTGCATTCATTAAGTTTGTTTTAAATGCACTAAATTAGACCGAGATATAATTAGAAATAAAAATTTATCGACGCATATATCAATAATTCTAATTCGGTTTCTTGTTTGTTTTGCCTTCGATTAGAATTACTACCACATTAATAGATGCAATTACTGATTTATACCTCATTATTATGACTCGAGACTACTGAAAAAACTGCAAAATTATATTAATTAATAGAGTTAAAAGCGTCTTCATCATTGTCTATTAAATCCAAGCTTTATTACGTCAGTTACTCGTAATTTTTTAAGCAAATTACTGTAAGGAACGTCGCGAGTAATTTCTATGCAAATAGTGTCTTGAAAAAAATTAACAATAAATTACGTAATTGATGTAAAAAACACGTTAGATAACATCGATTTTTTTAGAAAAATTATGATAAACGCGAACAAGTTAAACACTTGTGATGATACATATGAAGGCAGTGTTGCATGTAAATGCCCATTTATTACGGTAATAAGGTGGAACTACTCACACAAAACAAGTCGACACTTTGAAATGACATTTATTTGTTAGTTTTAAAGTCATTATCAATTTATAAATTACTTTTCACTTGGTTGGCCATGGAAAACTAAAGAAATCGCTTAAACAAGTTCAGAAAATGTGAAGAAGAATCTCGACTAATAAAATTTTGCTTTGAATGTAATTTTTTGCAAGGTTGGTACCTGTGTCAATGACCAGGAAATGTCAAGCGACCCTTGAAACAGCCCACTTTAGTTTTGAAGTGATGAAAATCAATTAAAACATTACCAACAATGGGAGTTTTAAATTATTAAAACCAGGAACTTTTATTACTTAATGTTTGTGTAACCAAGGTAACGATTCAATTACCATGTCCACATGACAATTAAATTATTTGTCGTTTGATTAAAGTGTCACATTGGTGGAAATTTAACAACTACCAACCTGAAAAAAATAAAGTCATGGCCAACCGAGTTGTAAATATGAAATCTAAGAAAATTAGTCATTTATTATGACTTCTGTAATCGTAGAAAAGTCACGGACAAAATACTTCGAACCATTTGTAACAATAATACAGTTGATGTGATTGAAAAAATTTAGTTAATAAATTCTGTTTGGATCTTCTTAATCGTGATAAATCTCTAGTAAGAATTTAGACTTTATTAAAAAATTCAAAACATTTGCCTGGTTTAATCTCTCATAAATTCTAAAAATAAAAAGATCAATCTTTTGTCGACGTGGCACTAACCCATTCATACCAACCTATAAATCACTCGAAATTTCTTAGTGGGTGGTTTAATTTTTTTAAGTTTGTTGAGGCGTTAACAATTACTCCCCAAGGTGGGGCTATAACTCATTTTCTATATATTTAGAAAATTTTATAATAAAGATTGAGTCGAGATAATGGTCAGCAGCCGGTTTTGTAACAACTTCCTTCGCTGACCCATGGCTTATTAGCGTACATTTAAGGCGAAAAATGTCAAAAGAAATGTCACTGGGTCTTCTCTAATCAGCTTTCGTGTTGTCCAAATATGCTAATTTGTTGCAAATTTTCGCGGAGGTGTTTCTAATTAATCGGCAATCTTCAGGGAGAAAGTATCACCATATAGGGACCGAAAATCAAAATTTCTCTTCCTTTTTGCTCGCAATTTCTGTTCCAATTTCGCGCATCTTCTCTTACATCATTGTTA